CCAGTGTCTGGCAGGAAGCCAACTAGCACAGGAGCAAAGGAGGTGCTTGCTCATTCCTGAGAGTCTCGATCAACCCCAGGGGCCCAGAGTGCCTGTGGCCATTCCCACCCCCTTCCTGATCCTGCTTTTCTCTTTCTAGCTCTGATCACTTCCTCTCTGTGCCTCCTCCCACTTCTCTCCCCCTTCCCCTCCCAACCCCCACTCAACAATTCACATCCTGCTGGCCTGAGGAGCCCAGAAGGTACTTCTCAGGGCCCTTGCACTTGAGTAGGGAGTAGTCCTTACACACCCAAAGTAATGCTTGTCTATTGCCAGAAATTCAGGTCCCTAGACTGGCAGTGGGGGACGTGTCTGTTCTCAAGCACAGCACTCCCTGCTCCATGAAAAGTAGGCTGAGGTGGAGTGAGGCACCAGGGTTTACATGCCCAGGTCTCACTGCCAGCTGGCAGAGAGGTACAGGACATTGCCCCAAATTCTACCGCTCTCTGCCAGCTCACGCAGGACCGTATTCTCTTCTCACACCCATACCCCTGCTGCCTGCTTATCCTACTCAACTTCAGTCTCAGTTTAGACACCTGCTCTTCCAGGAGGCCTTCCCTAATCAATCCCCAAGTCTGGGCCCTGTCCCACTGTTGTACCCCTATAATACTGAATGCCTTCCCCTCAGGGCACTTGTCATGCTGATTTGCAATCCGTGGCTGCTCAGTAAACCAGTACCCAGCATAGCCCTGACATTTAGCAGATGCTCAGTTTATCGAATGAATGAATGTTCACTTACACTGTAGCTCTGCAGAGACCTTGACTGTGTAGTTTCCCATTCAACTCCCAGCTACCAGTCCAGTGCTTAGGCCATGGTGGGCACACAATGATTATTTGTTAATTAAAAGAAGTCTTCATAAGAAAGGTTGTTGCATCTATACTGTTGTTGACAATGTCCAGACATTCTTAATATGAGGACAAGAAGCACAGACCAGGGGCCTTTTCTAGACTATCAGGGATGCGGGGTGAGGGTAGGGGGAGCAGGGATAGCAGAACAGCTCTGGGAGTACAGCGGACCAGGGCTGTGCAGAAGGGCTCCTCTCTTTAACCACAGTTTTAGTTTTCTAGAGATTCCTAGCCTGGGGTTCACGAGTGGGGCTGCAGAAGATCCATGAATCCTCTGACACTTTAATCAAACATCCATGTCCGTATGTGCATTTTTCTGGAAGGGAGTCCATGGCTTTCAATGGGTGCGTCTCAAAAGGCTGTGATGCAAAAAGAATTGTTGGTCTAGATCTGCACTCCCCAATACGATAGTCACCAGCCACATGTGGCTCTTTAAGTTTAAATTTAATTTTCAGTGCTTCAGTTACACTTGCTACATATCAAGTATGCTCGATAGCCACTACCTACTGGACAGCCCGGATACAGAACATTCCCATCACTGCAGAAAGTTCTGCAGAGCCTCTTTATATTGACAGCATTACTCCAGATTCAGTGCACAGATAGGATTGTTTGGATCGTGCAGTGCTTTTATGAAATGAGTTGCCATCATTTAGAAACGAAAGCATAAACATTTAAAATCAGGATTTATTTTGGGAGACGGGACTACCTGGCAGCTTTGGGTCAGCATTCCTCCTGGCAGCTGGAGTGCACGGGGCTGCTCCGTTTGGGGGGGGCCCTCGGCCATCCTGAAGTTACCTTCTGGGCCCTCCTGAACTTGCCCACCCTGGCCTCTTTCCAGTCTCTTGTGTTTGTAACCAGACTCCCACTTTGGGTAAGTGGGGTGGAAGCTGGTCTAAGAACACATCTTGCGTGTGGATCTGGGGGTGAGACTCGGGCTCCCGGCTGGAAGTTGGGGCAGGATGGGGTGGGCGCAGCGCCTCCCTCCTTGCAGTTCCCCGGCACTGGAAGAAGGGAGCAGGAATTTCGCCCTGGACATCTGTTGCTTGACAAAGAACTTCTCCCCAAGTCTTCCCATGAGCCCTCCAGGCCCCAGCGCGGCCAGCGTGGGCCCGCCCCCAGCGCTGAGATCGCGGGGAGGGGCCCGG